GGAGATCCCGATCTATGAGGTGGACCCCTTACACTCCAGACAAAATAATTTTTTGATCTATACACCTCATTAACAAACACGACCCAGGGGGGTTGTCATCAAAAATTTGCTCTAGGCTATTTTTGATTAAAAAAATATAATTGTTCTTTTTTAAAGTGCAAAAACTTTTCCTGCGACGAATTAGTATCAATCGAAAATAAAAGACTTGTAGAAAATGCCATCATACGGTTGGCGGCCGTTTTGGAACACATTACCTGACATCAGGTATAAACAGGTAAATTGAAGTATAGCTCTTGTCATTTTCCAAAACGTAGATACCAAGTATTAAAATGTAGATAATTTTATTACAAATTCAATGATATAGGGTTTTCATACAGAATATCTCCAGACTAGAGGGGTTTTTAAATAAAAAATAGCCTGGAGCAAATTTTGGTGACTGCATTCTTTGGTCGTATTTCTTAATACAAAAATAATGAGGGGTCCACCACATAATATGGGGATCTTAGACTATAAGCTTACGATGAAACGTACAAATAATTATTATCTTTGACTTTGATGGGTTGTAATTCTTTGAACCGTAAAAGACAACTAGTATTTTTTTATATAAACATATATCATATAGAAGAATTTCTTAAATTATAAAAAAAGAAAAATAAAAACTTCACGAAGTTCCAACAAACATTTTACTGTAAATGTGTCATATTTATTTAACTCATTGTGCAAGTTTATATGATTAAAATACAAATTCTAAAGAAAACAGTAAATAACTTGTAAGGCAATTTCATATTTTCAACTATAATTCGTTGCAAAGTTTGATTATTATTTATTAAATAACCGTAACCCAAATGTGTGTTGGTAACTATAGGTACGTACGAAAGTTCTACTCGCCCTTGACAAATTGCTCAGCAATAACGGCGGCTTTGCTGTAAAAAAATAATTTTTCGTTTAAATTATATTCAAGATTTTCTACCTTAATAATATCAAAAAGTTTATATATATATATACAGTCAATCAGTTTTTTACGTCCCACTGCTGGGTACGAGACTCCCTTCAATACGTAGGGGATCAAATAATAATCCACCATGCCAGCCAAGAGCGGGTATGCGGACTTCACATGTCTTTCGCAAACTTGCTAGGTTCTTCTCCCACACATGCAGGTTTCCTTCAATATAGGTTAATAAGTGGTAATAATATAGGAAATGATTCGTATATGAAAATATCAAAAGTGCCAGACTGGGATTTAAACCCGCTTCACTCCACTGGGCTATCTCTGCATTATATACAATATTATAGTAACCTAATAAATTTTGTACTTACATTCATTTTATCTGATTTAATTCGAATTCATAAAACAATGACTCTATCATAATAATTAAAGAATCTCATTTCAAAAACAAAACCAGAACTTCTGCGATAGATAAGTACTATATTTCCTTTGAACTTTCATATCTTTTACATCCCTTTTAGCCCCAAGGGTTGTTTCGGAGTTGGTCGACGTATGAAATACTTCGTTATAACTCACTTACCCGTTAATGCAGTGCAAGTTTTGCATCAAACTATATTGTCTCCCTCCGGACTAAAACTGAGCCAACAACAAAGTTATGTGCGCTTTTTGTCAATATTCCCAACGATTTCACACAACACAAAGTATATTAGTCAACAATTAATTAAAACTTGTGTTCAAAACGTAATGCGGGTACAGGGTTTTGTGTCATATTATCAAAGGATTTTTGGATACGTGTACGTGTACGTGCATCTTTCATAGCTTTAGTTTTTTTATTGCTGAGGGGATAAAATTACGTTAATATAGCAGTTCTAGTCTGCCGAAATTAAGATATGCCTAGTAAATGACATCACTACCATCATTTTTTAGTACCAGTAAATTTCCAATAAATTTCTCAGATATGAGATATTCCATTTTCCACAGTAAATTTTTGAAATGATGCATATTTTAAATTATCATATAATATTAATTTCTGATTCAATTTATATACAACTTAATTTATATAATATTCCCATAATTTTTGTATTTATTTTAATTCACTACTTGTATTTGTGTCTATCTTTTATGAAATGTGTGTAACACCTATAATTAAGGCAGCACTTAGAATTTATTATTTATTGTAATCATATTATTATGATTTTGTTAGTGTATGTCTTGTTGGTGTTAATAAATAAATAAATAAATAAAAAATAAATAAAAAGTATCCTATATGTTGACCCGGATATCATCATACCAAATTTCATCAAAATCTGTCCAGTGATTTTCTCGTGATATGTTCCGAGACAGACAGAAAGACAGACAGACAAAAAATCTAAAAACTATAGATTCGGCCTCTGTATCGATAATAATGACTATTTCAACAACAAAAAATCAAAAAATAGTTAATGTATGTACAGATCTGACTCTAACTCGACGAAAGTGTTGAACAATTTAATTCCATAAGAAACAACTATATTTAATCCATAGTAATGTTACTCATATAAAAGTGAAAGTCGCTCTATATTCTATTAGTTACCTTTTTACGGTTAAACCACTGAACAAATTTCAATTAAGTTCGGTAAGGACATAGATTGCATTTTGAGAATGGACATAGACTACTTTTCATCTACCTTGTCTCAGATTACCATGTAAATGAAACTGCAGGCAAAAACTAGTTACCAATGTTTGTTAAATAAAATTAATATAAATATCCTCCTGGCTGAATTCGGCCGCGACGGCCAATCACAGCTATGACTAGCTATGTACGCAAGAGAAATAATAGAGCAAAAATTTTAACCGCAGTCACAGGTGTATTTTCTATTCCTTTCACACTCTAACTTACATGGGTCGACTCGACACGACCAACGGCTTAACGTGCTCTCCGAGGCACGGAGTTGTAAAAACAACTAATATCTCTAATATCTCAACTTCATGCTGTTACTAAGAATTTCTTGACAGAAATACATAATAACTAAACTTGGCCCGACTAGTCGACTGAACCCAGACCTTCAGAAATTGCAGCCGTACACGCTACCACTAGACCACCGAGGCATTGAAATAAAATTGAGCTTATTTCAAGCAAATCAATGAAAAAGCAGGTGAAATGTAGGCACAGCTAAGAGAAAATCTTCACAGATAACACAGCTTAACTTTTAATAACATTAATTTTACCTTTTATGAAATAACAACTACTTTCAGGCTTAAAAACAAAGTTTAAAAATTCTAAATTACATTCCAAGAGAAGTGGACTTCATAATTAATCCTTAGACTCGTCATAATTAACAAATATAAGGATCTGAGATCATTTGCTTCAAAGTTTGTTTGAACATAATTTACGATTATTTGAGAAAAGAGCGAAATATTTTAAGAACAAGAATTTTAATGGTATTTTTTGTGAACGCGACGGAACGTACTTAAATGCCTTTACCGTGACAGAAAAAATGAGGATTTCATCGATGCGGTCAAATATTTCTTTTTCCGGTCAATTTCTTATTGAGTTATGTAGAAAACTAGCATTTTCCCGTGACTCTGTCCAAAGTACATACTTTTAAAATAGCGGATTTTCATACAAATTTCTAACCCCGTTTTTATTCCCTAAAGGGTCGAATTTCCAAAAATCCTTTCTTAGTGGATATCTACTCTCTCTATGAGGAACATATCTTTAAAATTTCAAACTTGTAGCATTTATACGTTATTTAGATTTAATGATATAAAACAGTAAAAAAAGCAGTATTAAAAAGTTCAAAATTAATGGAAAAATTATCTAACGGTTAATTTTCTAAGACTTATTGTACTAACAAGAATAAATTACGGCAACCCTCTCTTTTCTGTTAGGGTATACCTATTGAAATTTATGTCCAGAAGGTGGTTGAAAGGAAGATTTTATTAAAAAAGTTTAGACGTCCTTCGCATACGGCTATAAAGAGAATTGGTTCTATTATGTAAGTTACATAAGTAAGTCTTATAACATTTAATATTATTTTTAACTGTTTAATAGTGGCTTTTTATTAATTTTCTGTCTTTATTTAAAATATTTCAAAAGACTTTGTCTTAATTCTATGAGAAAATAAACTTTACTGGAAATGTAAAATTTCGTATATCCGATGTAAAACCGGAGCACTTATACGATCATTCATGATTGTCAATCACAGGTATTCACAAATTTTCAACAAACATGTGTGCAAAGTTCTATAAAATCATATAGTATGTATAAAATTCGTAGTATTTAAAACAGTTTTTCTCTCCTTTTGTTTGTTTCTACTCTTCTAAACCATGTAACGGATTTTGATACGGTTTTCAATGATGGAAATAACGATAAACGAAGAATATTTGTGTATATTATTTGTAAATATTTTGTATAAACAGGCTGAACTATTTTATATAAAAAACTGTTTTTGGCTATAGATTCATAAATATGTCAAGGTAATGTTCTAAAAAAATGTAGGTCTTACAAACATCCATAATCAAAACAACAGAAAAATCCGAGACAGCATGTGTCAATCTCTTTATATATACTCACAATAATTATTTTTTATCTTTTACAAATTAATAAAAAACGATAAGTTATTTGCGAAACTATTAATTTCTTCAGTATATTATTATTCCCAATTCAAATAAATATGTTGGTTACATAGTATATACGTATAGGTTACGTGGGACCAGCTAGAAAAGCCACTAAAACCCAACAGTATCTCCCCCGTATTAATAGAGCATCGCAGGATCGCTTACGCACTCAAACCCGACGTCTCAACGGCGGGCCTGCAGAAGCAAATCACAAAAACCTAAGGTGTTACTCCCATGGTCCACTCTGCTATCAGAGAAGAACCAGGAGTAACCCGCATGACACACTGCCCATCGGGCCATCTCCCAGTGTATCTCTCGGATTCACACACGCTTTTTAATGCCGTAAACATAAATGCGTAATTGTGTTACATATGTATTTTTGATACGTAAATTTATTTATAGTATTAAAAAAATGAATTATTTTGTATATTATTTTATTATTTTTGTTCTTCTACAAACTATATTGTTCCTGCCTCGGTGGTGTAGTGGCTAGCATGTACGGCTGCACACCCGGAGGTCCTGGATTCGAGTCCCGGGTCGGGCCAAGTTTAGTTATTGAGTCTTCCTGTATAGTAAGTCTCAGTAACAGCCCGGAGTTGGGAAGTTGGCGGTGTTTCACCCCCGTGCCTCGGAGAGCACGTAATGCCGTCGGTCCTGCGCCGACACTCTCACCGGTCGTGTCGAGCAGTCGTCCCACCGGAGTATGAGAGTGATAGGAATAGAGAGTGCACTTGTGTCTGCGCGTACACTTGAGCACTATTATATCTCCTGCGCAGTTGGCTAATCTCATTGAGATTGGCCGCCGTGGCCGGAATCGGCTAGGAGAACATCATCATCATCATCATATTGTTCACACCCCTTCCCTCTTACAGTTTGTCAATCCCAACACCTTAAGGTTGCCTGGAAGAGGTCGCTGTTTTAGCGATAAGGCCGCCTCTTGTACATAGCTCTATTTATATTTTTCTTGTACCAATTATTTGTGGGTGTACAATAAAGAGTGTTTATTATTATTATTACTCCCGATCATAATCTATCTCTTAAAACAATCATCTAAATACGTCCAACCATTTTGATTGTGAGAATGCAACAAACATACACAAATACACACTTAAAATCTTTTAAATACGCATTCATAATAGAAGTCCAATATACAAGTGGGATTCATTCCAAGATAATTTTCAAATGTTTGCTGTTGAATTGTTCAAACACTTGATGGGTGATAATCAAACGATCCAGCGCCCACGATACCGTTTGATGTAGCATCTCAAACGACGCGACAAATTTTAATGAATCCAAGCTTACATTGAAATTGAAATGTTCTCATTGAAATCTTTGTTCCCGTTCATCGTTTATTTTACTGAAAATATTTCTAGAAAGTCCTTTTGCCATTCAATCATTTGAATATTTGCTTAAGGAATTAATCTTGCTAGGTGCTACGATACTTTTATGTCGAAATTTGTATTAGCTTATGCCAATATCTTAAGTTATCTACATGCTAAAATATTTTTATACGAAAATAATATACGAGTACATTAATGTTATTTCAAGGGTAACTAATCCATTAAAAGACATAACTTTATCCACTTTCAGTTTAAATAGATTGTGAGTCGTTTTTGTTTTCCACCGAATCGAAGTGCAATAGTTCCTCAATGGCGTACTGGTGCATATAAACAGGTGGTTATCTGGAACTCACCAGATGGAATAAAATAAATAATAAATAAATATGTTGGGATATTAACACACAACACAATCTAGTTCCTTGGTAAGCTACGAGGCTTGTGTTATGGATACCAGATAGTTGATACATTACACAAATATAAATTTAAATACATACATATTATAAATATAAATACCCATGACTGAAGTACAAACATTCGTGCTCATCATTTTCCACTAAAATATACTCACTAAAACCCAATCTTACCTACTACTAGCCAACTGCGCAGGAGATATTATAGTGCACAAGTGTGCGCGCAGACACAAGTGCACTCTCTCTTCCTGTCACTCTCATACTCCGGTGGGACGACTGCTCGACACGACCAGTGAGAGTTAAGGCGCAGGACCGACGGCTTTACGTGCTCTCCAAAGCACGGGGGTGAAACACCGCCAACTTCCCAACTCCGGGCTGTTACTAAGACTTACTATACAGAAAGACTCAGGAACTAAACTTGGCCCGACCCGGAACTCGAACCCAGGACCTCTGAGTGTGCAGCCGTACATGCTAGCCACTACACCACCGAGGCAGTTAAATACAATATATAAAAACAATATTTACAGATATACTGTTATTACAAAACACGATATTAAACAAAGAGAGTTTTCCCAATATTAAAAAAAAAATTCGTACATATCCTGGTACATAATATAATATATAAAGCCTTTATATTCAAAGAAAACAAGGAAATATTGTTTATTCAAACCATTTTGCGAATAATAATCTTTTATGTTTATTATGATTTTTATAACAATGCAAAAAAGCTCTGTAATAACGTCATTTTATTAAAGTTAGTAATTTGAGATATTATTGCATTTACGCTCACGCTGTGTTTAAAAAAAATTGTGTATTATAAATTAGATTACTGTATGTGTTGATTATATTTGGCGAATAAGATATAATGCGAATAATCCAGTTGAAGATGTTACATCCATACTAATATTATAAATGTGAAAGTGTGTTTGCTTGTCTTTCTTTCACATCAATACGGCTTGGCGGATTGGCGTGATTTTTTGTGTAGAGATAGTTCGAGGGCTGGTGAGTGACATAGGCTACTTTTTATTATAAGTGGGTAAAATAAGGGATGAAAGTTTCTATGAAACTACCCTTTTAGACACTTTTTTGTAGTTTTAGCGCGAGTGAAGCCGCGGGTTCTGCTAGTAATTGCATAAATCTAAGTGTACGTTAAACTCACATAGATCATGCTTAATTAATCTAATGAAAGGCTATTTTTCAATTTTATGAATATAGATTTTTAGTACTTATAATAAGCAAGCGACTTACTCTTGAGTGAGTTCGTATGTATTTTTTGTATTTATACGAATGCTGAATAAGCCGTACTTTATGAAATATACGAGAGTTAACTTACACTCGCTTAGCTCGGGTGCGTCAGTGAGTATATTTATTTTTGAGCGGAATCTTAAATCTTTTTCCAAAATAAAAGAAGCCTAAGTTAATCCTTATAACATCAGCTATCTGCGAATAAAAGTTTCGTTAAAATCAGTCCAGCTGTTTCGGAAATAAACCAGAACAAACAGACACAGACTGATGTTTCGTATAAGTAGGTACTATATATATTTCATATGCATTTAGTAAAAAGCTGTTACTTTGACATTACAAAGACACTTCAATTTTATTTATCTGTAATAGATACATGCAAAGCCACATTTTGCGAAATTTTGTTACTAACAGTAGCCTAGGTGACACTGCAGATCGCAGTCTTTCGTAACAAACAAACACACATGCACATACAACTTTCGCATTTATACTAGAAATGTGACTTTTTTTATATATTTGTATTATTATTACTTATATATATTATCGTAAAGACATGTTATAGTACTACATTATACTCGTATTACTTGGAGGTAAACAGGTCGTAATTTTACAGTTTATATTACACACATACATATACAGGGTTATCAGTAATTAGACGTATTCCCGTTAGGAGGTGATAGCGGTGACTATTTGTGATAATTTTAACTCCCATATGCATTATGCAAAAGTGAACCATTTTTAAGTGATCATGTCTTTTAGCTTTTTTCAAAATAAGTCGAAAATGCGACTTCAAAAATTTATTTAAAAAAAGTGTCAATTTAAATCTAAACTAATCTAAAACACTAGTTATTTATTAATATTAAAACAACAATTATATTGGTCCAAATTTAAAAATGCACGACGAAAAGTGATATTATTTCAATATTTTTTGAGATTTTTTTCACTCAAATTCCTTAAAAACAAAAAAAAAATTTTGAAGTGCTTGCAGATTATTTAAAAAACACAAACGTTTTCTTAGCTCTCCAACAATGGATAACAACTAGTAACTTTTTTCAAAGAAACTGAAAAAAAAATGATCACAAAGGAAGCAGGCGGAAATTCGTATTCGTTCTTTAAAATTTCCATAAAATTAATTAAATAGAATACCCAATATAAATAAAACAAAAATACAAATGCCTGCCTGATTGCCGTGCTCTACCGTGTCCTGTCGTCGCGGTGTCGTCGCGGTATCGTCTCGATATCGTCACGGTGTCGTCGCGATTTCTTCGCAGTGTCGTCGAGGTGTCGTCAGGGTGGCACCCACTACCCTGTATATTCTTTAAACAAACTGGGTATAAAACCACTTTGTACTCGGGTTTTGACCGAATTTAGAAGGGAGTATACTTGTTGGAAACACTCCACGCCATGTACAACAGATTTATTTGTATCAATAATACCGAAAATATAAGTTAATTTAAATAAACATATCTTTAATGTCTTATAACAATTAATATAGCCATAATTGATTTTTATTAAAAATATATAATATTATAGCTTTTTAAAAATAAAAAATTCAAACCAATATAAAAGGTTCATCCCTCTACAACTTCGGGCGGAGACGATTAAATTTTTTACGACTTCTCGTTTTATTCCTGTCATAATCAGCTTCACTAAGTAATCATTTTTAAAGAAAAAAGAGGATGCAACAATGTTTTTATGGAAATGCTAACTCACATAAATCGTTATCATGAACGAGCAACGATAGCTATAATAATATGAACTCATTTTATGTATCATAAAATTAAATTAAATAAAAGCCAGGTTAATATATACAATTCAATAATATACAAAAAATCTCTCTTCATTACAATAGTAAATAAAATATATACGAGTAATATAAATATATACGAGTATGAGTTCTGGGTTCGGAAACGAAAACTGATTAATTGCATTATAAATGTTTTATTACTTTTGTGATAGCAAAAAATCAAAATAATTTAATATAAATTAATAAATAATAAACAAGTTGAACTTTTCTTTTTTTTATTAATATAGGTATCTATAAATGACATTAAATCTAAAAAAATATAAAACATGTCATTTATAACAAAACTAGCACTGCCCGCGGCTCCGCCCGCGTTCAGATGACCAAAAACCAAATTCTTATGTTTTACATATTAGTATACTCTTACATTGCAGTTTTTTTTTATTTTTCTCAGAAATGAAATATTTTCTCGCGGTAAAAAGTATCCTATATGTTGACCCAGATAACCAGCTATTCCCCCCCAACGTGCGTTCACCTTGTCGTGGTGGGGGGGCTCAGTAGTAGTAGCGAAGCTAAGAAATGCACAGGGAGGTGGCCCTCTTTGGGGGGCGGTGTACCTTGCAGGTTGCTCCTGGTACTTCTCTGATAGCAGAGTGGACCTTGGAGCAACCCCATGGTTGTGGTGGTCTGCTTTGGCAGACCTCGCTTCGTCGGGTTGCGTCGTAGTTGAATGCGTAAGCGATCCTGCGACGCCCCATTATGACGGGGGAAGGTTTTGTTGGGTTTTAGTGGGTAGTACTGGCTGTATTACGCCGGTGAGTCCCACACGTCGTGCGTAAATGCATTTCCCAACGTTAAAAAAAAAAGGATATAAGGTACTACCATGCAAAATTTTATTCAAATCGGTTCAATAGATTCGGAGATTAGCCCGTACAAACAGACAGACAGATAAACAGACAGAGAAACAAAAAAATTGAAAAAAAACTGGATTTGTTCTATTTGTCTTCTTACATCGCCCTGACTCGATTTTTAGCATTTTTTTGATATGTACAGA